GTCTGAGGATGGACGTTGGCGCAGACAGGCAGAGACCAGCTGACTACATAGGTGGTTTTTATAGTACGTTATTTTGGCCTCCCTCTCAGCAGGTGTGAAAAAGGCCACCATTTTTGAACGGTAGCGAGGGTCCAACAAGGTGGACAGCCAAAAGTCATCCCTCTGTCTGATGGTTATTATTCGGCTGTCGCTACGCAAGCAAGCGAGCATGCTATGGGCCATTTGTGCCAAGGAATGCGAGGGACTCCCTGCCTCCATCTCCACAGCATACTGCCACGGTGCGTCTGGGTCCTCTGTCTCCTCTTCCTCCTCCTCTACCAGATGCTCCTGCTCCTCCACTCCTGTCCGCTGAGTGGAAAAACCACCCATTTCACTCAATAATTCCTGAGCACCAATGTCCTCCTCTACCTCCTCCTCTTCTTCCTGTCCTGCCCCCACAGGGGTCATGTGGCGTTGAGATCTGTGCGCCACGTCTACCGCACCCTGACCAGCCATTGTTAAACAGCATTTGTTCCAGGACGTGCAACAGAGGAATGACGTCGTTCATCCCATAGTCCTGCCGACTCACGAATAGCGTGGCCTCCTCAAAGGGCCTGAGCAAGCGCAGGTGTCACGCATGAGCTGCCAATGGCTGACATCTAAGTTACACAGGGAGTACCTTTATCCGCTTTTAACATCAGGAAATCTGTGATGGCCTTTTGCTGTTCGTAAAGGCGGTCTAACATATGTAGGGTTGAATTCCACCTTGTTGCAACGTCACAGCATGAGGAGTCGTATAGGGGCCCATGGCAGATTAGGGGCCTGGCAGCAGCTATGGGAGGCCCGTAATCTGCCAGCACCCTATGTCAAAAAATTCAACACACCAGCAGTGTGAGGAGACCTGAAAGTGGCACATGGCAGAGTGTGGCGATGGAGACAGCAGCAATGGGAGGCCGTACAGGGACCCATGACAGACTCTGGACTTGGCAGCAGCATGAGGAGGCGGTATAGGGGGGCCCATGGCAGATTAGGGGCCTGGCAGCAGCTATGGAGGCCCGTAATCTGCCAGCACCCTATGTCAAAAAATTCAACACACCAGCAGTGTGTGAGGAGACCTGAAAGTGGCACATGGCAGAGTGTGGCGATGGAGACAGCAGCAATGGGAGGCCGTACAGGGACCCATGAGAGACTCTGGACCTGGCAGCAGCATGAGGAGGCGGTATATAGGGGCCTATGGCAGATTAGGGGCCTGGCAGCAGCTATAGGAGGCCCGTAATCTGCCAGCACCCTATGTCAAAAAATTCAACACACCAGCAGTGTGAGGGAGACCTGAAAGTGGCACATGGCAGAGTGTGGCGATGGAGACAGCAGCAATGGGAGGCCGTACAGGGACCCATGAGAGACTCTGGACCTGGCAGCAGCATGAGGAGGCGGTATATAGGGGCCTATGGCAGATTAGGGGCCTGGCAGCAGCTATAGGAGGCCCGTAATCTGCCAGCACCCTATGTCAAAAAATTCAACACACCAGCAGTGTGAGAGGAGACCTGAAAGTGGCACATGGCAGAGTGTGGCGATGGAGACAGCAGCAATGGGAGGCCGTACAGGGACCCATGAGAGACTCTGGACCTGGCAGCAGCATGAGGAGGCGGTATATAGGGGCCCATGGCAGATTAGGGGCCTGGCAGCAGCTATAGGAGGCCCGTAATCTGCCAGCACCCTATGTCAAAAAATTCAACACACCAGCAGTGTGTGAGGAGACCTGAAAGTGGCACATGGCAGAGTGTGTGGCGATGGAGACAGCAGCAATGGGAGGCCGTACAGGGACCCATGAGAGACTCTGGACCTGGCAGCAGCATGAGGAGGCGGTATATAGGGGCCCATGGCAGATTAGGGGCCTGGCAGCAGCTATGGGAGGCCCGTAATCTGCCAGCACCCTATGTCAAAAAATTCAACACACCAGCAGTGTGTGAGGAGACCTGAAAGTGGCACATGGCAGAGTGTGGCGATGGAGACAGCAGCAATGGGAGGCCGTACAGGGACCCATGAGAGACTCTGGACCTGGCAGCAGCATGAGGAGGCGGTATATAGGGGCCCATGGCAGATTAGGGGCCTGGCAGCAGCTATGGGAGGCCCGTAATCTGCCAGCACCCTATGTCAAAAAATTCAACACACCAGCAGTGTGTGAGGAGACCTGAAAGTGGCACATGGCAGAGTGTGGCGATGGAGGAGACAGACAGCAGCAATGGGAGGCCGTACAGGGACCCATGAGAGACTCTGGACCTGGCAGCAGCAGCATGAGGAGGCGGTATATAGGGGCCCATGGCAGATTAGGGGCCTGGCAGCAGCAGCTATGGGAGGCCCGTAATCTGCCAGCACCCTATGTCAAAAAATTCAACACACCAGCAGCAGCAGTGTGAGGAGACCTGAAAGTGGCACATGGCAGGTGGCGATGGAGACAGCAGCAATGGGAGGCCGTACAGGGACCCATGAGAGACTCTGGACCTGGCAGCAGCATGGGAGGCGGTATAGGGGCCCATGGCAGATTAGGGGGCTGGCAGCAGCTATGGGAGGCCCCGTAATCTGCCAGCACCCTATGACAAAAAATGGAACACACCAGCAGTGTGTGAGGAGACCTGAAAGTGGCACATGTTTGAGGCATGATTCATGGCGGATTTAGTCAGTTGTGTCAGGAACTGGTGGTTTGAAATCCAGACTAATCCACGCCTGATTCATTTTCACAAACGTGAGTCTCTCCACACTTTGGGTGGACAGTCGTGTCCTCCGCGGAGTTACAATACCTCCTGCCGCACTAAACACGCGCTCCGATGCCACGCTACTGGCCGGGCATGACAGCCTTTCAAGGGCAAATTCAGCTAGTTGGGGCCAAAGGTCAAGTTTCGTTGCCCAGTAGTCAAGGGGATTGTCTACCTCGGTTGGCAGGGTGCTGTCCAAGTAGGCCCAAGCCTGTTGTTTGAGGTCCTGCTCCAGGTCCACCTGATGCTGCTGCTGCTGCTGCTGCTGCGGCTGGTTAGTAGTTTCCTCACTGCGCTGGTGAAGAAAGCTACTCATCATCGACTGCAGACTGAGGCAGCCGCTGCTGGTGGAGCTGCCACTGCTCCTACCACCCCCCCCCCTCCCCTGCTGCCATGGCAGCGGAACGCGAGCGCACAGGGCCCACAGTGTCTGAGGATGGACGTTGGCGCACAAAGGCAGAGACCAACTGACTACATAGGTGGTTTTTATAGTACGTTATTTTGGCCTCCCTCTCAGCAGGTGTGAAAAAGGCCACCATTTTTGAACGGTAGCGAGGGTCCAACAAGGTGGACAGCCAAAAGTCATCCCTCTGTCTGATGGTTATTATTCGGCTGTCGCTACGCAAGCAAGCGAGCATGCTATGGGCCATTTGTGCCAAGGAATGCGAGGGACTCCCTGCCTCCATCTCCACAGCATACTGCCACGGTGCGTCTGGGTCCTCTGTCTCCTCTCCTCCTCCTCCTCCTCTACCAGATGCTCCTGCTCCTCCACTCCTGTCCGCTGAGTGAGTGGAAAAACCACCCATTTCACTCAATAATTCCTGAGCACAAATGTCCTCCTCTACCTCCTCCTCTTCTTCTTCCTGTCCTGCCCCCACAGGGGTCATGTGGCGTTGAGATCTGTGCGCCACGTCTACCGCACCCTGACCAGCCATTGTTAACAGCATTTGTTCCAGGACGTGCAACAGAGGAATGACGTCGTTCATCCCATAGTCCTGCCGACTCACGAATAGCGTGGCCTCCTCAAAGGGCCTGAGCAGCGGCAGGTGTCACGCATGAGCTGCCAATGGCTGACATCGAAGTTACACAGGGGAGTACCTTTATCCGCTTGTAACATCAGGAAATCGGTGATGGCCTTTCGCTGTTCGTAAAGGCGGTCTAACATGTGTAGGGTTGAATTCCACCTTGTTGCAACGTCGCAGATCAGGCGATGCTGTGGAATTCCGTTCTGCCGCTGCAGCTCAAGGAGGGTGTGTGCTTTGCGGTGTAGGAATGGCTGAAATGCATGCAAAGTTTACGTGACATTTTAAGGATGTCTTGCAGTGGGATGGTGGATTTTAGGAACCGCTTGACAACCAGATTGAACACGTGAGCCATGCATGGCGCATGGCACAACCTTCCTTGACGCAGAGCAGACACCATGTTCTTTCCGTTGTCGGTCAACATGGTTCCGATTTTCAGTTTGCGCGGAGACAGCCATCTGTCGATTTCTCTGTTCATTACACTGAGAAGTTCCTCCCCTGTGTACTACGTTCGCCAAGGCATACCAGGTGCAGCACAGCGTGACACCGTTGCGCCCTGCACATGTGATATGCCGGTCGGGTAATGGGACTTGGCACGGGGGGTGGCGGCTGAGGACACGGCGGAAGAAGAGGTGGTAGAGGCGGACATCTTTTGCCGGACCAAGGACGTGCAAACGTGGAGGCAAAAGCGGCGTGACCTGTCCAAGTTGCTGGTGCGGCTGTGACGGCACCACGTTCACCCAGTGGGCCGTAAATGACATGTACTGTCCCTGACCGTAGTTACAGCTCCACACGTCGGCGCTGCCGTGCACTTTGGCAGAGACCGACATGCTCAAAGACTGGCCCACCATCTCTTCTACATGTGAATGCAGGGCTGGCACTGCCTTTTTGGCGAAGAAATGACGGCTTGGCACTCTCCACCGCGGCGCGGCACAAGCCATCATTTCTCGGAAAGGTGCTGAGTCCACCACTTGGAAAGGGAGGGACTGCAGCACCAGCAACTTGGACAGGAGGACGTTCAGCTTTTGCACCGTCGGGTGCGTGCTCGCAAACTGTTGTCTCTTGGAAACGGATTCCAAGAAAGACTGCTGACGGAATCCGTGAAGAGGAGTAGCAGGAGAAGGAGGAGCATCTGAACGAGCGGAAGATGCCAACGAGCGACAACTCCCCTCAGCAGAGGTGTTGGAGCCTTGACTGGCTGATGGAGGGCGATTGACGTCAGGTGACGGAGCAAGTAACGGAGCGGGTGATGGAGCGGGGGCTGGGGCGGGCAGAACCGCCGTATCTTTATCACGGTTTTCCCAGGCCACCAAATGGCGACGCTGCATATGCTGCTGCCGCAACGCTGTAGTCCCAACATGGGCCCCCTGGCCACGCTTGACTTTCTGGCCACATAGTCGACATACGGCTACGTTTACTTCCTCGGGCGGCTTGACAAAAAATTGCCACACCGCCGAGTAGGAAACTTTGCCCCCGATACTCCTCACTGGCTGACTGCTGCTTCCTCCGTGCACACCGGCACCACTACTGGCCGTGGTGGTAGGCTGCAGTGGAGCTGGTGCTCTACTCCGTGGCCGTTTGGCTCCACTGACACTGCTGCGACCCTGCTGTCTCCTGGGCAACCCACCGACTGTTTTGCTCGCTGCTGCCAAGCTGCCACCCTCTTCTCCTGATGATGCGGAAGAAATTGCCTGATGATGACGACGAGGCTGCCAAGTGCGATCAACCTCCTCATCATCAAGTAGGGTCTCCGCCTCACTACTAGCCCCCTCGGCTGCGTCTGGGTCAGGAGACAGACCTGTCTCTAGACCGGCTACCGAGCCACTCTCCTCGCCACTACTTCTTCGCCTGGCTGCTGAAAAGGCGGATGTCTCCCCCCGTTCCTGACCGCCCTCTGTTAGCTCTTCCTCACTGGGGCTACACAGGCGATACTTCGCTTGGTGAGGGAACACCACAGCAGGTGAGGACGATACTTCCTTGCCAACTAACGGTTGTGTCTGACGTACCCACCGACCGTTGGCAAGGTGTCAGAGGTGACTGGGAAGGTAGAGACCGAGCCAACCAATCGACGACGGGGGTTGTCGGTGGAGACACGACCGCTGCCATGACACCGGGAGCACTGGCCTCTGGCTGCGAATAGTGCTGCCCGACCGACCCCTTCCTCTGCTGCCACGTCAGAGGTGCTCGCTCCTAAAACATTGCCTCCTCTGCCACTCCTCTGCATGTTGTCTGACATACTCTTTAATTCAACGATTCTGTGTCCCGAGTAACAATTCTGTGTCCCTGAGTAACAATTCTGTGTCTGTCCCTGAGTAACAATTCTGTGGCCCTAAGTAACGGTTCTGTGGCCCTCAGTAAACAATTCTGTGTCCCTCAGTAACAATTCTGTGTCTGTCCCTGAGTAACAATTATGTGGCCCTAAGTAACGGTTCTGTGGCCCTCAGTAACAATTCTGTGTCCCTGATTAACGTTTATGTGGCCCTAAGTAACCGGTTCTGTGGCCCTCAGTAACAATTCTGTGTCCCTGAGTAACAATTCTGTGTCTGTCCGAGTAACAATTCTGTGGCCCTAAGTAACAGTTCTGTGGCCCTCAGTAACAATTCTGTGTCCCTGAGTAACAATTCTGTGGCCCTAAGTAACAATTCTGTGGCCCTCAGTAACAATTCTGTGTCCCTGTCCCTGTAAACAATTCTGTGGCCCTAAGTAACAGTTCTGTGGCCCTCAGTAACAATTCTGTGTCCCTGAGTAACAATTCTGTGGCCCTAAGTAACGGTTCTGTGGCCCTCAGTAACAATTCTGTGTCCCTCAGTAAGTAACAATTCTGTGTCTGTCCGAGTAACAATTCTGTGGCCCTAAGTAACAGTTCTGTGGCCCTCAGTAACAATTCTGTGTCCCTAAGTAACAATTCTGTGGCCCTAAGTAACGGTTCTGTGGCCCTCAGTAACAATTCTGTGTCCCTAAGTAACAATTCTGTGGCCCTAAGTAACGGTTCTGTGGCCCTCAGTAACAATTCTGTGTCCCTCAGTAACAATTCTGTGTCCCAGAGTAACAATTCTGTGTCCCTGTCCCTGATTAACTGTTTTCTGTGGCCCTAAGTAACAATTCTGTGTCCCTCAGTAACAATTCTGTGTCCCTGATTAACGTTTGTGTGGCCCTAAGTAACGGTTCTGTGGCCCTCAGTAACAATTCTGTGTCCCTGAGTAACAATTCTGTGTCTGTCCCTGTAACAATTCTGTGGCCCTCAGTAACAATTCTGTGGCCCTCAGTAACAATTCTGTGTCCCTGAGTAAAATTTCTGTGGCCCTAAGTAACAATTCTGTGGCCCTCAGTAACAATTCTGTGTCCCTGAGTAACAATTCTGTGGCCCTAAGTAACAATTCTGTGGCCCTCAGTAACAATTCTGTGTCCCTGAGTAACAATTCTGTGGCCCTAAGTAACGGTTCTGTGGCCCTCAGTAACAATTCTGTGTCCCTGAGTAACAATTCTGTGTCTGTCCGAGGCCCTAGTAACAATTCTGTGGCCCTAAGTAACAATTCTGTGGCCCTCAGTAACAATTCTGTGTCCCTAAGTAACAATTCTGTGGCCCTAAGTAACGGTTCTGTGGCCCTCAGTAACAATTCTGTGTCCCCTAAGTAACAATTCTGTGGCCCTAAGTAACGGTTCTGTGGCCCTCAGTAACAATTCTGTGTCCCTAAGTAACAATTCTGTGGCCCTAAGTAACGGTTCTGTGGGCCCTCAGTAACAATTTCTGTGTCCCTCAGTAACAATTCTGTGTCCCTCAGTAACAATTCTGTGTCTGTCCCTGATTAACGTTTACGTGGCCCTAAGTAACGGTTCTGTGGCCCTCAGTAACAATTCTGTGTCCCTGATTAACGTTTCTGTGGCCCTAAGTAACGGTTCTGTGGCCCTCAGTAACAATTCTGTGTCCCTCAAGAAACAATTCTGTGTCTGTCCGTGAGTAACAATTCTGTGGCCCTAAGTAACGGTTCTGTGGCCCTCAGTAACAATTCTGTGTCCCTGATTAACAATTATGTGGCCCTAAGTAACGGTTCTGTGGCCCTCAGTAACAATTCTGTGTCCCTGATTAACGTTTCTGTGGCCCTAAGTAACGGTTCTGTGGCCCTCAGTAACAATTCTGTGTCCCTCAGTAACAATTCTGTGTCTGTCCCTGAGTAACAATTCTGTGGCCCTAAGTAACGGTTCTGTGGCCCTCAGTAACAATTCTGTGTCCCTGATTAACGTTTATGTGGCCCTAAGTAACGGTTCTGTGGCCCTCAGTAACAATTCTGTGTCCCTGATTAACGTTTCTGTGGCCCTAAGTAACGGTTCTGTGGCCCTCAGTAACAATTCTGTGTCCCTCAGTAACAATTCTGTGTCTGTCCCTGAGTAACAATTCTGTGGCCCTAAGTAACGGTTCTGTGGCCCTCAGTAACAATTCTGTGTCCCTGATAACTTTTATGTGGCCCTAAGTAACGGTTCTGTGGCCCTCAGTAACAATTCTGTGTCCCTGAGTAACGGTTCTGTGGCCCTCAGTAACAATTCTGTGTCCCTGAGTAACGTTTCTGTGGCCCTCAGTAACAATTCTGTGTCCCTCAGTAACAATTCTGTGTCCCTGTCCCTGAGTAACAATTCTGTGGCCCTAAGTAACGGTTCTGTGGCCCTCAGTAACAATTCTGTGTCCCTGTAAACAATTCTGTGTCTGTCCCTGAGTAACAATTTCTGTGGCCCTAAGTAACGGTTCTGTGGCCCTCAGTAACAATTCTGTGTCCCTGAGTAACGTTTCTGTGGCCCTAAGTAACGGTTCTGTGGCCCTCAGTAACAATTCTGTGTCCCTGAGTAAACAATTCTGTGGCCCTAAGTAACAATTCTGTGGCCCTCAGTAACAATTCTGTGGCCCTCAGTAACAATTCTGTGTCCCTGAGTAACGTTTCTGTGGCCCTAAGTAACAATTCTGTGGCCCTCAGTAACAATTCTGTGTGTCTGTCCTGAGTAACAATTCTGTGGCCCTAAGTAACTTAATTTCTGTGGCCCTAAGTAACAATTCTGTGTCTGTGGCCCTGAGTAACAATTCTGTGGCCCTAAGTAACGTTTCTGTGGCCCTAAGTAACAATTCTGTGGCCTCAGTAACAATTCTGTGTCCCTGAGTAACGTTTCTGTGGCCCTAAGTAACAATTCTGTGGCCCTAGTAACAATTCTGTCTGTCCCTGGTAACAATTCTGTGGCCCTAAGTAACAATTCTGTGGCCCTCAGTAACAATTCTGTGTCTGTCCCTGAGTAACAATTCTGTGGCCCTAACTAACGTTTCTGTGGCCCTAAGTAACAGTTCTGTGGCCCTCAGTAACAATTCTGTGTCTGTCCCTGAGTAACAATTCTGTGGCCCTAACTAACGTTTCTGTGGCCCTCAGTAACAGTTCTGTGGCCCTCAGTAACAATTCTGTGTCTGTCCCTGAGTAACAATTCTGTGGCCCTAACTAACGTTTCTGTGGCCCTAAGTAACAATTCTCTGGCACTCAGTAACAATTCTGTCTGTCCCTGAGTAACAATTCTGTGGCCCTAATAACGTTTCTGTGGCCCTAAGTAACAGTTCTGTGGCCCTCAGTAACAATTCTGTGTCTGTCCCTGAGTAACAATTCTGTGGCCCTAACTAACGTTTCTGTGGCCCTAAGTAACAATTCTCTGGCACTCAGTAACAATTCTGTCTGTCCCTGAGTAACAATTCTGTGGCCCTAACTAGCGTTTCTTTGGCCCTAAGTAACGGTTCTGTGGCCCTCATTAACAATTCTGTGTCCCTGAGTAATGCTTCTCTGTCCCTAAGTAACGTTTCTCTGTCCCCAAGTAACGTTTCTGTGGCCCTAACTCTGTCCCTAATACAGAGCGGTCTGCCTCTCTTGAATGACTGGAGGCAAATGAAGAATTCTAAAATGGCCGCTATTTATAGCTCGACCATTACACAGTGCTGGCTGCCTGGCTGCTGATTGGCTAATGCGATCACATGTCATTAAGGAATGCATTATGGGTCAGCGCGCCTTGTCTGCGCGCCTTCCCAGACATCCCCGCTCCGTCGCCGCACATGTCCGCCGCCATTTTAGGAAAAATTTCGATTCGCGCGTCCGAAGTAGGCTATTTTTCGGATTCGGTGCGAATCGAAAATTTTCCAATATTCGACTCGAATTCCACTTCGCCTACTTCGATTCGCTCATCTCTATACTTCATATTACATCAAATGACATGCCTCATAGAGGCTACATGTCCTACAAATCATAGAGCGCCTTGTCCAGCCTTTTCAAGAGTGTCATGTGCATGCAATCATCACTGCTTAGGTTGCCCTCAGTATTGTAGGCAGGAAGAAGGAACAGCGCTGGCTTGGGTAATAGCCTATAGCAGGGGCGGACTGACAACTCATGGGGCCCCCGGGCAATAGGGGATCATGGGGCCCCTGTGTCCTTGCCCAAACTCAAAAAAGCCTATGAAAAAGGTACCAGGGGCATCTCATGGGGCTCCCTACTGACCCTGGGCCCTCGTGCAGTTTCAAAAATGGTCAGTCTACCCCTGGTCTATAGCAGGATCCTCTGTCTGTCATACAGGTGGGTGACTCATTTGGAAGTGGAATTCACTTTAAACTGTCACTGCAAAGGGAATGTGCTGGCATTGTCAGCATGGCCACACAAGGGTGTAGTCCTGGCCGGGATCATGCAAACCAGAGTAACAATGCTGAAAGGGAGGAAATGTAGGTGGAAATGTCTTTCTGTTCAAAACAAAAAAAGATTTCCAACAGTAAGGAAATGATGAAGATACAAAGCACCCAGGAAATTAAAAACATTTAGAAGTAAGTTATAACATATGATTTTACTGTACATGCTTTACATGCTCTTTACTATAGTGTGGGAGTACAGTTTTCATTTGGGCTGTTCTTACCATTTGGCTATACTTGATGACAATTTAAAATGCTCTTCCTAACATCTGCTAATCTACAGATAGAATATGATAAGTACAAAGTATAATGTTGTGTGTGTTAAGACTCTAGACATACTATGAGAACAATTTATAGGCTGCAGAATTTGTTTTCTTTGTGTAAAAGATGGCTCTCTACTTTGACCTTTAATATCCTAACATTTTACGGCAGGAGATTCATAGCTAGTGTAATAGAGGGCTTTTGTTCCTGTATATTTAGAACAGTAAAAATGATAACAAAATCGTACCTTTTTAACTCTATTTAACCCTCAAAAGTAGCATAGATAAGAAAAAGGGAACATTTTACTAGGAAAAGCATGAGACCTTTTTCTGCATCCTTGAATAAGTTCTTTAACACATCATTTTATGAAAATGCTTGAAAAGAAAACTACATTTATGAAGCTGTGCATAGACTCTTCATTGTAATGGAATTTATAAAGAGCCACACTAAGTAATATATAATGTATAAAACGAATGAATTGCATTTTGCCAAAACTGGGGATTTTGCTGAAATCACACCATTGTTGTTCACCCCAACAAAAAATGTTTTTTTTTTTTGCCTTCAAATACTTGATTTGATATCCAGAGAGTATTGGTGGTCTCAAAGCCAATTTTCTTTTCGACTTCATTCCTCCCTTTTCTTCCTATACTAATTTCCTTCTGTTTATTTTCCTCTTTTTGTACTATATTCCTTTATTGCAATTTTGCAAAGTTTCCATTATTATTATTATTATTATACAGGATTTATATAGCGCCAATAGTTTGCTCAGCGCTGTACATTATAATTAGAGACAGTACACGAGACAGTACAGTAACAATACAATTCAATACACGAGGGGTTCGAGGGCCTTGCTCCTTGGAGCTTACAATCTAGGAGGGAGGGGATAGTGGTAACAGGAGGAAATAGCTTTGGGGGAGAGTGGTTTGGAAGAGTGGGAGGAGATCGGCACTTAGCTGAGGGTGGAGTAGGCTTCCCTGAAGAGATGTGTTTTCAGGGTGCACCTAAAGGTGAGGAGAGTAGGTGATAGTCTGATGGATTGGGGTAGGGAGTTCCAGAGGATGGGAGAAGCCCTGGAGAAGTCCTGGAGATGGGCATGGGAGGAGGAGACCATGGAACTAGAGAGTAGGAGGTCTTGTGAGGAGCGGAGAATACGTTTAGGGTGGTATTTGGATATCATATCGGTGATGTAGTATGGGGTAGTGTTGTGAACAGCTTTGTACGTCAATGTTAGCAATTTGAATTTTATCCGTTGGAATCGGAAGCCAGTGGAGGGATTGGCGGAGGGGGGTGGCGTATATGGAATGGTTGGTAAGGTGGATGAGTCTGGCCACAGTATTCAGGATAGACTGAAGTGAGGTAAGCTGGTGAGGAGGGAGTTACAGTAGTCAAGTCGTGATATGAGTGTTTAGTAGTTTCCGGGGTTAGGAACGGCGTATTTTGGAGATGTTGTGGAGGTGTGGAGTACATGAGTTTGTCAGCGATTGGACCTGCGGCTGGAAAGACAGATTAGAGTCTAGGATGACACCTAGTACT